CTGTAAAGTAACAGTATAGTTATATACTGGGCAGTATTTGACACTGAAGAATCTGAAATGCATGCTTACTCACTTCTGGTCTTCCCAAGGCTAGATTGTTTTTTAATAGTGCAATATTTTAGAGATAGCTTTCAAAATTAACAAAATGCAACAGTCCAGAAAAGTTAATAAAAAACAGCTCAATCCTGATGAGCTTGGCTGATATTCACAGAAATCAGGAAGAATAAGTCTATCTATAAGTATTCTTTCACAATAAGTCTATAATGGAATTTAAATGAAACACACCATTATGAGAGAATAATTCTTACATATCAGAGAGTTACAATACATTTGAACATAATGTTCACATATTTATTAATTCAATCAATAAATGTGTACTTTATAGATTTAATTTGCTGGAACTATAATATGGTAGCTACTTTATTAGCTATTAAAAGGAATTTGTTTTGCTTTGGGTGCTCTTAAAGGCATCCACATCTCATTTAAGTAAATTAGGGTTTAGGCATTAAAACAAACTCTTCTAAAAAAAAAATTATAAGTAAAAGTAGGTCACACTGAGGATGAATACCTTTTTTAACTATAAAATTAAAAAATAAAATTTTGAGAAATTATCAATTGTGATTATTAAGAAATAACAATGAATATAGGAGAATGCAAATCTATAAGATTTCTCAATTTAGTAGACTGAATGTCATTTTTCCACATCTCAATTTATACTATCATGATTAAAAATAAGCAGTTAAAAATTAGTAAAACTATTTATTTCATGATAAATCATCTAGTAATTCAATCAAATCATTAAAAATATATTAGTTATATCTTTCAATCTTGGAGGAAAAGAAATTTGTTAGTGACTCATAATTGAGTTTATTGTAATTAATAGAGCATCAAGTAGTTACTTAAGATTAGTATTTAAAATACGAAATTAGGAAATACTCCAGAAGTGTTTGCGTAAATATTTTATGTCAGACATTATGTATAGAGAAATGGATTCATAGCCTATGAAGCAATTATCTGGGAAGACTTTGAAACTGGATAGGTCTGCAAGTGAGCAACTGGATATAAGCATTCTTGATAGTTCATCAAATATGCTTTGAAATGATAGTGCTAAAAGCTTTAAAATATTATTTATGAAGATATTTGATGACCAGTATAAAATGGTTACAGCAGCTATTTGATATTCCTAAAGGAAAAAAAAAAAAAAAAAAACTAGGCCGGAAATTCCAGGTACATCTTCAGTAGAAAGGTCATTAATATATTAGTGTTCATGATTAAATTTCATCTTTGGAGACTTATTTTCTTTTTCTAGAACAGAATAAATATTATCATACTATCCCCTTCTTTTAATAATCGTACATTAGTAATTAAAAATATTTAAACACATTTTTTATTTTGCTCTCCTTTAAAACTTATGAATAATAAACATTAAAATAATAAAATCATATAGTACTACATGGAGAAACTGGTCAGAGCTATATTCCTAAGTTTCTAAATAAAATTGTCCAAGTAGTTGCTAAATTAAAATACCAACAATGCCAGATGTCACCCTAATTAATTCTGGTAAACTAAATATGAGTTTATAAAAGAAGTTAGAAACTAAAATCTGGCATTTTGTAAGTTTCTCCATTTTGAAGTTATTACATGAGAATATTTTGAGTGTGGTTTTAATTAAGAGCAGAGATCATTAGGTTGACAATAGAAATCTTCTAAGAAATCACTTTCCCCTTACTAAATGACAGTGAGAAATCAACAAAGAGCAACTATTTTGTAAAAGTGACTATTCTCCTAGAACAGAATTAAAGCAAAGGTAAATATCCTGTAAAAAAGAACTAATGTGCCTCTGGAAGTGTATTATTTCAAGATTTTCTTTAAATTATACAATATCAAAACAAAGGAAATGTTGATTAAATTCATTTGGCACCGTGACACCATAGACCAAGAACATTTGATACTGGTATTAAAAAAATGTTGAGTCAACATTACTTCTTCTGTGGAGACACAATTTTAACAAAAAAAAGATTAATTAAAAAATTCAAACTTAAATGATACCTGTTGCAAAACGTATTTTGTTTTCATAACATATTTGTCCTTTTAAAACACCCTCATCTCTTATGTCATTTCCTCTACAACTCTCTAAAGTAGACATTATTTTCTCTGCATGAGATATGAGGAAAATCAATGAAGAGTGGTCAAGAAATCTTACTAGATTCATATTAATCACATAGACCTAGAACTGAAATTCAGGAAGAAATCCTAGATCTATCAGCATTCTACTTTTCCCAATAACTCACTATTAGGAGGTGAAAGAGAAAAACATTAAGAGTCTTAGAAGAGTACATCATTAATCATAAGCCAAAATCATAATATCCAAACACCCTGGGGATAATTTTTTTAAGAAAAAAATAAATGCTTGCTAAACTCATCACTGATTGGTGTCATATTTCCATTTGTCTCTGAACTTTTTTAATACTAATATCCAATTTTCTAAACTACTAAAATGTTTAGATTCTTATTCTAGTCAGGAACTGTTCATTTTAAAGATAATATAAAAAACTCAATATAACAGGAAATATAGGAAATCGAATCATATGTTGATAATGAAACATCATAGTTTGGAAATCTCACCAGTAGTGTTCTTTGCATTTGTAGAAAGAAACACACAAAAGCACTATTCTGAAAAGAAATTCTACTTTTATTTAAGAACACACAAATCTAGGATTCAAGCTAATGGTAGACTCCTACCATTATGTATGCATAATATACATACACACACACACACACACACACACACACACACACACACACACACTTTGAGTCCCAATGATTTCTTCCTACTTAAGTTTGATTTACTTAACCATAATGTACCAATTATTTTGCATGAAGAAAATCAAGATGTACTAGAGTTTATGCAAATGTACATTCCTATTATTATGGTGAATTGCTTAAAAGAAAATGTTCCATAAGGCGATGAAATCCCATATTATCTGATTAAAAGAAAAATAAAATTGATTATTATCATTATATGGTATCATGTCTATTTCATTTGGAAATTATTTTTAAAACACCATATATTTGAAATAAATACCTTCTCCATCCATCCAAAAATGAATTTCCATCTATCTATATATCAATACACACATATATATACACAATTAGCACATTTACCATTTACTACAATAAAATTCCAGAGGATAAAATGCAGAAGAATTGAGGAATGGGAATTCATCAACAAATGACTTTCTCCAGTGGAGTAAAAACTACCTTTTGCATCAAACTAAGAAAAGCACTATAACTTTGCAAATTTACAAACCAAAGTTGCAATTATCTTTCTTATTTCTTCAAAATTTTATTAGTGAACCTTACAAGTAGAAAAATTATTGATCAGGGATCCATGTCAACAAGTGTAATTACTAAAAATATTTCCATAGAAAATTTAAAGAATACAATTTCTTAGAGAAGAGAAAGTGTTGTTATCAAACGGAATAGTTTTATGATTGTGTCTTAGTAACATTTTTTTGATTCACTGTTTAGAAGCTCCAGACTCCTTCAACATGTGAGCAAACATAACCAAATGGTATCAATAATAATAATATAACTTATTAAAATATTCAAAATTTGATTTATCATTTTAATTGAGTCAAATCTGGTTGTAGAAGCAATCTATCAGCTGCTCAATCTACACATATACAAAACTTTGAATTTAAAAAGAGTTTTACTTTGGGGAGAGTTCCCATAATTTTCTAAATTTGTTCTGAATTTTTTTTTTTTTTTTCGGTTTTCCAACTGGTGGAAAGCCCAGTGGTTTCTGTCCTGGGGTCGTACAGAACCTGCCACTGGGCAATCTCTTCCTTTTTCATTCTATTTGACAACTCACCCCACCCCCACCACATGATTTTTTTTTTTTTCAAGACTGAGAAAATAACATGGAAATGCCTACAAAGTGTTTCTCTCAGGTAGTCAAAATCACTTTGCCAGTGCAAGATGCCATTAATAGCTCTCCAGTTGTCCTTTCATATATTAAGGTTTGGGACCTTAACAAGAAGCAATGTTTTAACGTGTGTCTGCAACTGCCATCTTCCATATTTCATTAGGGCTATACATCCCTTCCTCTAACTCTTTACCCTCCCCATTTCTTCCTCTCACCTTGGTCTAATTTATGACTTTCGTAACCTTGCTAAACATTTTAATAAATTCACGTTAAACAATTAAATGAATACATGTTAAACATTCAAATGGTTTTAAACCGATTGATGACTGTAAATATTAAGTTATGCATCATAGCAGGACTATCTGAAAATGCATATATTCCATCTCTTACAACAGGGAAAAATCAACACAGGATGGTCACACATAGATTATATGACTGTCAACAAAATACAGCCATTCCGTCCTTACCTGCTTAACTGCATGATGACAAACATATCTGAATAGCACGCAAAAGAAAGTCCCCCACATCTGAATCATCTGTCTTCCAAGCTGCTGTGACAGTTTTATACCCTGGTGCTGTCTTCTTTGCTTACATACATTTGCCTGGCTAGGATATTTGTAAGGGATACTAGGGTTAATAGGCAACCCTAGTCACCTCTTCCTTTTATCAAACAGCTGGTGGGCATCGCACAGCGGGAAGCATGCATCTTATCTTCAGAAGTAGAGCCTGCCCTGCGTTTCTCGGCCGGATTCCCATTAGAAGGCAGTTCCTGCTTTAAAGGGTTGATCACATTCTCAACCCTTTACTGCAAAGTGAAAGGCTCTCTGGCTCAACTCTTGGGGACTGGTCTAGGAGAACAGCCATGAGAAACATCAGAGACAAACTCTCTGCCCCTGTTTGGCTGCAGAACCAGCAGGCACCAGCCGCGAACAAGCACCACCCCCTCTCGGGCGGACGCCAAAGCAGAGCACTCCCAGTCCCGGATCCTCCTACCTCCCACCCCAGCCCCTCCGGAGAAGAGGGAAATAAAAGACCAACTTTAAAGTGGGCAAAATATAAGCTAGACAGCCCCCGCCCCTCACTCTTTGCTTTGAACTTCATACCTTACATTCCAAGCTCTAGCTCCAAGTTGAAACCCAACTCTCTCCCTCTGCTCACCGCCCTCCAGATTCCGAGAGTTGGCGAAGGGGGCGAGGGAGGGACGGTCAGCGGCGATGCTGACACGGGCTAGGAAGCCAGGCAGCGGGCGTCACCCCTGCTTGGCGGTCGGACGGACACAGCGATGGGTGCTAGGGCGCAGGCATCCTGAAGAACTGCCCCTCACTCATCTCAGACATAGCTCATTAAAAACAACCGATAACGCAGCGAGACGTTAAAGATTACAGAGCTCACAAGCCCGTTCTCGTACAGAGGAGGTTTGCTCATTTGGGCCTCAGGAAGCTCGTGAGTGGAGCCTTCTGGAAGGACGAAGCCCCCCTGGCGCGCCCCTCGCCCCGGCCGCGGGCGCCCGCGCGAGCACGCAGCCGCCGCAGGGTGGGCGCGGGACGCGGTTCCCGCTCGGGCGCGGCCCCTTCCCGAGCACAGGTGGCGGTGGCGCCCCGGGCAGGGGGGGCTCCCGGGCAGAGTCGCCTGTTGATCGCCCTGGGGTCAAACGCTCTGGGCTGCGGGAGCCCCTGAGAGGTACATTCCCCGCTCGCAGGCGTGAGCTCCAGGTCAAAACGCAGCGGAGCGCACTTACCTTGAGACCCCGCGCCCGCCTCGCTGGAGTGGACCGGGTCGAGCAGAAAAGACGGACTGCACTGAAAGTTTTTTTTTTCCCCCTCCCTCCACCCCTGCGCAGCCACAGCAGTCCTCCAAAGAGGATGTTTGAACTGGTGAATTATACTAAGCCCCTGTTTCTTCACATGCAGTCACAGACGCCGATGGCGCAAGCTTGTCAGGCAGGACGACGGGACTGGGGAAGAGACCAGGTACAAACTGGCGACCGGGGAGGGGCGCCCGGCGGGGCGACCACGGTCTCAGCCCTGCTCTGACTCGGTGGGAGCCGAGGGGAAAAGCCCTCGAACCCCGAGACGGCGGGGGATGGGGTGCCGCTGCAGCTGGAGCACTTTTATGTCTGGAAGCTAAAAGGGCTTTTGAATTTAAAAAAACGTTGCTTGGCTTGTCGCGCCAGCCATCAATGATGACAGGAATAGCTCTTTCTGAGAAATTAAAAATAAAAAAAAAAAAAGAAGAAAGAAAGAAAAAAGAAGGAAAGAAAGAAAAGCTTGAACAATAGGTTCTCAAGTCCATCTATGCTAATTATAGGAAACAAGGAACTTGTCCTTAATGCGGGGGGGGGGGGGGTTCACAGAGAAAACCCTCAGGACGTATTAGAGATTACTGACACACGCAGGTTTGGCATTCAATGAATACCGTGCTCTTCTCCATAGATGTCAATATGTGAAGTGAAAGCAAAGATTTCAAATGTTTCTCAACACAACTATACTGAAAAGGGAGGTGATAATTCTGTCAGCTAAGCCCAAGGAAATGTTCATAAAAGCAATAAGCACCTACCATATTAACATACCTATTAAAAACAGAGGATGGGGGTGGGCAAGTGTGAAGAGCAGAGCAATTAAATTTTTCATGAAAAGTCTGTCCCTGAATTTCAATTTAATAGAACCAAGATAATCAGTAGTTTCTTCTGATGCCTTTTTTTTTTTTCTGAAATGGGTACTGCCTGTCCAATTAACTGTTCACCAGCTAATTCACAAAATGAGAGATGTACAGCCAAATACTATGCCCGAATTGAAATACAATGCCTAAAAGGATGTGCTCATGTGTGATTTAAAATGTTGTAAGAAAAAAAAATGGTGCCCTCAAAACTCACACTCCTTTTCCTACCACTCAGTGGCATTTTAGTGCTTAGGATCCTGCTAAAATCATTAAAATATACTTTACAGTTAAGTCCTCTCTCAGTCATCTAATTGTTTACTATGAACAAATACTGACCCCAACAACCTTCTGAAGATCAGAGAGGCTGGTGAACTTTCCCAGTCCCTGCAATTGTCAGGTCTCTTTTAAGCTGTCTCTTAGATAAACATATAAAATCTGACCTTTCAAATGGCACAAGAATGAGTGCCAAGAAGGGTTAATGGGAGGGAAAGGAAGTTAATGTCCATATAACCTGTAATATAAATGAGAACAGAAATGAAAAACAAAACAAAACAAAACAAGATTATGAAAGGGGTGATGCATTACACAGGATCTGTCTCGATAGTGCAATTGCAGCTAACATACTAATTAATAAATATGGTCATATAGCTCTCTGAATTCTGAAAGTAGCAAAAATGTAAAAAATGATACACTTCAAAAGCCAAAGCTTATTAAAAATAACACTAGTAATAAGTTTCTAAAAACATATAGAGAGAATAACTTACCAGAGGAAATTTCAGGAAGCAAGATGACTGTGAGAAAAAATACATCCAAGATTCAAACAGATATTCCATGATCTTCCAAATCAAGGTAAAGTAGTGAGCTGCAGGGTGGTGGGACTTTGAAATAATCAGCAGTTCCTGGTGGCATGTAACCAAGTAAAAACCAGCTACACAGAGAGCCACGCACCCCCAAGGAAAGAAAGCAAAATGTGAAAGGTGCTTTTTATTTTGGGGGTGCTTAAGGGGGCTTATTTGCGGTGATCCTTAAGCAGACAAAGTGAAAATTTACAAACTATACACCCCCATCCAGTGGGGAAAGACAGAAGCTGTGTAATCCCAGAGAACAGGAGGTGGACTACAGATAAATCTGCAAAGAGAAGTAAAGGGATGTGCTGAAGACAAGGAGATAAAGAGAGAACTAGTGAGCAAGGCTGTAGTCATCCTGATAGATATAGCAGCAAGAATGATTTAGGCTGCTGGGGAGGATCCAATGAGAATTCAAGAGGGCACCGCTTCGGAAATCCTGCTCTCATCTTCCCACTCGCAGTTCTTTAAGAGTCACCTGCGCTGGGAACGTTATTATTAGGATTAATAGTATTCCATCAGTGCGTTTCACTAGTATTTCCCTAGAACATTTTCACTCGCAGCAACTGAGGGAGGCGCAGTAAGGAAGCCCAACACAACCAAGCCCCCGAGTAAACCACTCAGCCGTTCACATCATGACCAGATCATCGGCGATTTGCACTGGGGGTGGGTGGGGGGGGATGGAGGGCTGAAGACGCGGCGGAGGCCGGGCGCCGGGCGCTGTCGGGGCGCTGCGCCCAGAGGCTCAGGCTCGCACGGGGCCGGGCGAGCTGCGGCGGCGGCGGAGGCGGCGGCCCCGCGGGGACCCACGTCCTCGGCGGATCCTGCGGTCCGCGACTCAAGGCCATCGCCTTGCATCTGAAACCCTCGCTCCAATACCTTGCTTAGAGGCTAAAGCTTTGCAGGTCTGAGGACCGTCCCTGGGGGAGCAGGCGACAGGCCGTGCGGGCCCGCCGCCCCTCTGATCCCTGCAGTTGCTGGGAGAGGGTGCTAGGCATGGCTTTGCCGCCCAATGCGGTGGCTTGCCGTTTTCGTGTCCAGATCCCGCACAAACGATCGCCTGATCGATCGGGTAAGATCAGCTTTATTGTTTCTCCCTTTCCTCTCCGTGGCCCCATCCCCGCCCCCTGTCCAAGCCCAGAGCCCGAGCCCCGACCTCGGCCTCTCTCCTTCTCCCCCCAGGAACTTCCTTTCCTCTTGGAAACCTACTTCCCCAGGGGAACTGCGTGTGACTGAGAAGCTGGTAATTCTGTTCCTAGGTGATTTGTATTTTGGCTGAGCATCGAGTCCCCTCCCTGCCCCGGTGCCCGCCGCGGGCCCCGCCCCGCCCCCGCTGCCCCGAGCCCGGATCCGCGCGCTGGGGGCGCCGCCTCCCTCCGCTGCGGCTGCACCTGCCTCGGACCGAAGCTTGACGTTATCCGCCTCTCTCTCGCTTGGGAGACGGAGGGAAGGGCAGAGTGGAAATTGATTTCCTGCGGAGACTGAGGCGCCCAATGATAGAAGGAATAAACATTTGCCCTGGATAAAAATGTTCTTGGTAAGTCATCTTATTTTGTGAGGTTGAAAAGGAAACACATTGCTTCTCACTGCCCCAACACCCACTCCATTCATTCATTTCTCTCTGTATGTAAATCACGAGTTGGGTCAGTGGAAATTTTCTTTGCCTCTTTCCTAGGAGCGTAGTAACATGTAAGAGTGAATTTGAAGTAGAAGGCGTTTAAGAAGACAATATGAAAGCTTTGAGATCTTTTGTATACTGCATTAAAAACCCAAAGACAGGTGAAGCAGATAGATCCCTGCTTGCTTGCCAGCTAATGGAGTATGTAACTCCCTTATTTCGTACTTTCTTTTTTTTTTTTTTTTTAATATTAAAAAAAAAAAATAGTTTGGGGTATTGGCTCCGTGTCCGTGCTTGCAGTATTCTTTGGCCATGTTCTAAAATATAATGTTTCAATTTCAAAAATGGGAATGATTATTTTTCACATTTTGCAGGTAAATTAAAGATATAGAAACCACTTACTAAATGTGCATCTTGGCTTCAATTCTTGTACCAGATACAAATTAGTAGTGTCCAAAATGGCTATTTACATGTTGTGATGATACTATAAATTCATAATGCCCTCTGGTTTTCCTTGGGTCTATAGCACCCCCAGCCTGTACATGCTCATACTGTGAAGAGTAGATAGGTGCAGGAGTGGGGAGAAGCCAAACAGCTCTTATTGTGCTTATATCATATGTCACTAAGTGTGAATAACAAGTCTTGCAAATTGTGTGAACTTAGTTTTCAAGTGTAAGCTGACCCTTTGGATGTAAAAAATTGAAGGAGACTCGCTCTAAGAAAAATCTTTGCAATTTTGAATTTTAAGATTTTTTTGCTGGTAAAATATCGATATTAAACTTTTTTTCTCTATTGTTGTCA